ATCAAAGTAAGGCTTGACATATCTCGCTTTGCATGTAATGCGTCTATCTCATATATTGGTTTCACCTTTTGAGTTGCCTTAAACATAAGGCATAAATGAACATTTGCACAATATTCTAATTTTTCGAGTTTCACCTGTAAATTTAATTATTTAGCTCAACCTGATAAAGGTTCCTGCAATCCTCAATAAAGATATCATTGAGTTCCTGAAAAAACAAAATCAAATAGATGTATTATGGGCTAGGAGTAGTGTAGAAAAGTGTTAATATTATATGCACAAATATCTAATTCAGTCTCAGATTAATAAACAACTGGAACACTTATATATCAAAATCCATATCTTTCTGAATATTGTGATGAAATCTTCTAACCAAAGTAGCTCACAGGAAAATGTGTTTATTAGAAAAATTATAGTAGGAAAAGATGGAAAAAAGTGACAATACAAATATTACATTTGGAAAGGTGAATATAAAAATGCACATATTCAGGGGAATAAACTGATTCAAATGCTTTCCTTATGTACGTGCAGCTGTTTTGTTGGCATTCCCAGCTGAAATGTTCTCTCTGTATGAACAGACACCCATAAAATTATATATATTTTTTTAATCTTAAGAGTGCCACAAGACTTTTATTTTTGCTGCAAAAAATTAATACAGATACACCTCTGGAAACTGTTGTTTGGGATACAACATTATTTGCTAGCTACTGGTTTTGTACAATATAAAACAATACTTTCCTAGCCCGTGTGGTGTAGTGGTGAAGGAAAGACTGGAAAGACCAGGTTCTAGTCCTTCTCAGCCACAGAAGCTCATTAGTAACTTTAAGCCAGTCACACTCTCTCAGTCCATCCTGTCTCACCAGTGTGTTGTGGTAGGGAAAAATGGGAGGAGGAAGCACTGTATTACATTTTGAGGTCCTGAAGGAAAGTCATGATATAAATTTAACAAACAAACAAATAAATATTTGACAAATGTTAACTATATAAAGGATACAGTTCAGTGCACCTTTTCCCAGGAGTAAGCTTAACTATACACAATAGGACCTGCTGCTGAATAGGCATGCGTTATAAATATTGAAAGTAAATTTTATATATATTTTATACATTTATTTATACATTCAATCCCATTATTAAAATAACAAAAATAGCAAGAGTTAATAGCATATGTTTAAAATCTATGTAAATCTATCCATACAACCCAGATGGCCAAATGTAATGCTTTTATGTCCATTATATTTTATAATCTAAATTAGAATTTATGGGTGCTGAATGTAATAAGACTATTTAAAGATTACTTGTTAAAGTGCATTTCCCAGAGCTGCCTTTTCTCTGCATAAATCAACACATTAGAGAGGCTCTTCACAATTTATCCAGTACTATAACCCATAGTAGCACACATTCTGTTTTTTAAAAGAAAGTGCTTTCTTAAGCGTCTTTATGTCAGTATTAGATTTCTATAAAAATATTACACATGGTTCCTGTCTCACCTATCTCACTTCATTCATAAAAGGCCTCTTGCAAGATGACTAGAAATTTTACTCCAGCAATAGGGTTTATCCCTTTTCTGTCAGCTAGCAAGTCTACTTAGATACTTCTCTCTGTCTGGGTCCCTGGAGCAGTCTTCCTCAACCTTGGCAACTTTAAGAAGTATGGACTTCAACTCCCAGAATTCCCTAACCAACTTGCTGCCTTGGGAATTCTGGGAGTTGAAGTCCACACATCTTAAAGTTGCTAAGGTTGAGAAGCACTTCCCTGGAGAGATGCAGCTAATCAAAATAGAAAATAAATATGTGGATAGTCAAATAATATGATTTGGTATAAGTCTCAGTCTTTCTAAACTGCAAGTGCTGAGTGTAGTTCTATATTTTACTTTGCAATGCAGTGCATAACTCAGAATGAGTTAAGCTATAACTCATTTTCATAAGTAGCAGTAGTTTCAGCTGATAGAAGATAAGGGGGAAATGATTTTCCCCTCCCTCCTGCAGTTCCCCAGGCTTTCCCAAAGTCTCCTCTGGAAGGTTCCCTGGATTGTGAGAGTGTTAGAGACTGGACTGCAGGAGAAAAAGTTCCAATCTGGTACTGGGAGACTTCTAGTATGATGATGCATTCCATCTATGTTTATTAAGTAAAACCGTGCACACAAAATGTGTATTGTATTGTGAAGTATACAAAAATACATCAGGATAAATTATTTACAAAAAAATGTAAAACTAAGTGCGTGTGTGTATCTAGAGAAATAATCAGAAATGGATATAAATTTTCATGCAAGAACATTTACAAACTGATTTAAGAAGTTTACAAACTGATGTAAAAATGAGAAATTTTATGAAACAAATATGTAATCTAGAAACTGAAAAACTGCACTAAAAGAAAACTAAATAAAAGAGGAGTTCTGACTTCAAATATGGGTTGATCTTCTGTATAAAGCATCCCATTTAGTTTTTATCTACAGCCTGAGATGGTATAGTTTGGACTATGCATTTCAAAAATAGAAATTTGCATTTGTGCCTTTCATATTTTGAAAAGATTTTGGACATGTGGGCCAGCTGGTTATTTTTTTTCAGTTATTGTATCTGCTAGCTCATAATAGTAACTATCGCAACAATAACAATCATAGTTGCTACAGAAAATATTAGAGCATAAGAAAAACCCTTCTGGATTTGGCCATGGCCCATTTTAATCCAGAGCCGTGTTTCTCACAATGGCTAACTAGATATCTGTGGAGTGCTTACAATCAGGAAATATGCCTGTTGATTCCCATGCTGCGTCCAATCCAGAGGTAGCATAGTATATGATAAATCTCTCCTCTAACAGACTATCTTAGGGTTTTTTTCAATCCCATTTTAAAGGCATCTATTACCATGTTTCCTGCTAATGAATTCCATAGGTTTCATTATGCATTATATAAAGAAGAGTTTTCTTTTCTCTCTTTTAAATCTTCTTCCAACTACTTCACGGCATTCCTTTTCTCCTTTCAGCAAGATATAGCCTTGGTCCTCCATTACTTCCTTCTCCAGCCAAAACCAGACACATCCTATGCCACATCCTCTCATTTCCATATTTGCATTTCCCCATCTTCCCACTTTCTAATACTTTCTCCTTATCACCTACCACTAACAGTTTGCTGTCCCCCCAAAGCAAAACTTTGCATTATTGTCCTTGAAAATTACACTACATTAGATATTCTCTGAACAAAAAAGAACAATAGTCCACATATTTAACCAACTCATTGCTTACCCCTACATCAAGATCATTAATGAATGAAAAGCACTGATCCCAACATAGGTTCTTGAGTGATTCCACTTCTTACTTACCTCCGTTGAGGAAACAGACCATTTATTCTTACTCTTTTTTAAAAAACCAGTTAACAATCCATGAAAGGAAGGGTCTTTCTTTCTAATATTTCCTTCCCATCAGGCTTAAATCATGTTTTCCTAACTGTCCACAGATAGTTTCTCCAAGGTAATCTCTGTGGTTCTCTACACTTAAGTATCTATTCATTGTTTTCTGTAGAAAAGACAGTTTCAAAGCATTCATTTTTTCTGTAATCTCCATCTCTTTCAGTCCTTTGTTGTTTAACAGCCCAATCTCTTTCCCTGCTGCTTTTTATTTTGAATATATTTAAAGAAGTTCTTACTAAAAAAAAGTTCTCTCTTTTTGCGGTATGCTCCTTAAATTCTTTTTTATTATTATTTCCTTAGTATAACTTACACTTTTCCCCCACACTTCATGCTTCTTTTTGTCCTCATAACAACAGGCTTTCCATTTCCTGCAGAGATGCTTCTTG